CATTTCCATCACTACCGTTGTCACATCGATAAAAAGTTTAAAATTCAATTTCTACGGCTAGGTAGAAACGACAAATGAACTCAATCCATTTTGGCACAAACCCAAAACTAAGGGTCATACGCGCGGTGGAGCGCCAACTCTGCCTGACCCCCTTTAGCTGATGAACCTCGTCATACATAGCCGGATCATATATTTAAAAGCTAACGAGTTGAAGTTCGTTAAACCCAATTCGCACGACCCGATACGCACGAGGTCTAAATCATGGCTACTATCGAACCAATAAGGCGGATTGGCGGGAGATGGATGGATTCGATCAAAATGAATCGATCGACACCGATTCGACCGAAAAATTATTAAAAACTGTATCGATTCAATTGACATGAATCAATCGAAAAATAAAAACGTGATCGACGTGATTCGATCGACGAAATTTATCGATTCACGGTTTTGTCGATCGATTCACGGAGTTGTCGATCGACTCAAAATTTGTCGATTGATTCACGGGTTTATCAATCGACTCACGGACTTTTTCTATCAATTCACAGGTTTGTCGATCGATTTACTGATTTGTCGATTGATTCACAAGTTTGTCGATCGATTCACAGGTTTGTCGATCGATTTACAGAGTTGTTGATTGACTCGCGGAGTTGTAGATTGAAATATGGCTTTGTCGATTGCTTCACAGCTTTGTCGATGGATTTACAGCTTTGTCGATCGATTTACAGAGTTGTTGATTGACTCGCGGAGTTGTAGATTGAAATACGGGTTTGTCGATCGATTCACGGGTTCATCGATCGATTTACAGAGTTGTTGATTGACTCACGGAGTTGTCGATCTATTCATGGCCGTCATCGAATCGGTGTCGGTCGAATCACTTCGATCGGTTCACGTTCTTATTTTTCGATCGATTCATATCGATCGAATCCATACCCTCCGTACTGCGGTGTTAAAGTCAAGAGGTGCGGGGAATTCGACGCGAACCGACAACTTTGGTCCGGATCACCGGATCCACCCTCTGACCTCTTCCGCCTCATCCAACACCTCAGGGATTTTGCTGCGTGTTTAACCGGGTGAAGGACCGGTTCCTTGAGCCGTTCCTTTTTTGAGATCCTCGGAGTCGGAACTACTTATAGCTCCTCCCTCTTCTCATTCACAGGAAAACCGTAGTATTTCTGATTTTGCGCTCGCGTACGCGGACCGTGTACTTATGCGCATTCTTGAATTTAATACGATTATGTCTGTGCAGGTATGCGTATGTGCATTTATATGCAATTTTGGCTCCGCAAAGGATTCTTATGAAGAGAGAGTCTCGTTGAATAATGCAAATCATATATACTTGCAGTATTTTTTTTTTTTTTTTTTTTTTTTTTTTTTTTGCAGTATTTTTCACAACAGAAGCACTTAAAAAGTAAACTTACAGATGTTACGAATAGTAGGATTCCCGAAAAATCGATGGCCAAAGTGCGAAACCGCATATTTCCGTTTTGCGAAGATTCAGACTTCCTGTCATACTTCATGGTTTTTTCGAAAAACTAGTCAACGCAATCCATCAAAAACTTCCTTGATTTTTCTCCTCTATTAGCAGAATATTCTGTAAAAAATTTCATTATGGAATTGGCTTGTTTCGCTTCTAAAAAATCAAATAGAAGCGGACATTTTGAAACACCGAAACGGAGATACCTTCGTGGTCTCGCACCTCAGCCGTCTAAATATTGGTCGACACCGGAATCTCCGTGGCTGGATTTCACGTTAGCTAAAATTTCCTCTCATGTCATATCCCTTAACAGAGATAAAAACAATGCACCGCCTTGAAACACGCTGTGGATTTTTCCGAGACTAAGAAGAAAACACATTCCCAAAATTCGAAAGTTAGATCTTGATTGGCTTTTCTTTAATAAAAAAGTATAAACCATGAAGAAGAAATTTGCAACGACTGATGTAATCAGGCCTTGATTAAATGTGCAATTGTAGTGTTACAAAAACTAACGCACCCTAAAATTCTTGCTGACATGAGGCCACTGCCGCCACTAGATTTCATAGTGGGTTTTAAAATCATTATTTTATTCCGCCTTCCAAACACGTCGCCTATAGAACCAATTCTATTTGTATTATATTGCTTAGAACTTGATTTTACAAATCCTAAATGACAAAATCATCGAAGAATAGAGGCAAGGAGCACTCTTTAGATGCATCGACACATAAGACTATAAAACATTTAAAGTCCGCAATGGATCCGTCTGACAGAGGTAGCTGTATTTTTCCAACTATACGGCAGCCTCCCACGACGGATCATAAACTAACAGCTACTATAAAACGAGTATTCAGTACTATATATGGACTGAGTTAAGCAGAAAGGAATCAACCCACATTTTGGAAAAAATCGAGTTATGAGTGGTTTTGAACTCAACCACTGTTCTACTATCTATAGCCAAAAATTCAAAGTTTTTGTTGGAGCAAATTTTGCAGAAATTGAACTTGAAGTTTATCTTTTACATTGAGTCTTATGCAGGAGCCGAACTTTAAACCTCTTTTTCTCAGTTCGATCCCGATGTGGCTTGGTTCCTTTCTGTTTAACTCCGTCCATATCGTCTTGAGGCCACAACATTCCACCACTGTGAATGGTGTTCGCCTAAAATCCACAAACCAAACTTTACCGAGGAGTCTTGTTAGACGAGAGTATGTCGGCAAAAAATATATGTATTTTGTTCATTGGTCGTATCAAAGAGCGGAACCTGGTGATACCCTAGAAGTAAAAAAGTTGTCGGCGATAGGCGGTGCATAGGATTGCAGAAGCAGTAAGCGTTCGGAGATTTTCAGAGCTTCGACTACCCTTTTCAAATTGAAGGGGTGGAAAGATAACTGCGAACACATTTGAAGACTTTGGCCCCTTACTTTTAGAGTGAGTGGCTCCAGAGTGCAACTTGTAGTTAGCTAACATGTCAACTTCAAAATATTTGGACCTCATTATTAACCCCCCNGTATGCACGCGTTCCGGATGGAAACGTTAAGAATTAAAGTATGTAGGAATTAAAGTACGAATTTTAGAAATGTAATGTGTAATTGTTACTTTGCTTATTCATTTTAATTTTCAAGTGTTTTTCTATCCTTTTGTTTAAGTCTCCTAGCCTATATTATTCGTATTGTCCTTAGTGGGTTGGCACTGAGTTCTTGGTATTGTTATATATTTTTGTTCCTTTTCAAAATTGCAAACAAACTTAATGCGTTATTGTCACCTTGCTTATTCATTTAAATTTTTAAATGTCTTTTCTATCCATTCGTTTGAGTCTCCCGGCCATTATTATCTGTTTTGTTATCGGCGGGAGATGACCCTTCCTTCTCCTGCTCCACTGGTTCTCTTAGTTTTTGAGACTTTCTTTCTGAAGAATGAAAACCATGATCATAATTTTTTAAAGTTCATTCCGATTTGATTTTTAAGTTTATAAAATTACTTTTAAAAAACGAGTCTTTAGTCAAATAATAATCTCACCCTGCAGCAGCAAGTACTTTAAGCTTTGTATAATCGGATAGTGCATAAACAAATAATTCAACGGCGGTTTGGATGGATGTTATTTGGTGGACAAGGAATCAGGGTAACAGGTTTTCGACTGGTTTTGTTATGGTTAGGTTTCCTTGAACATTTATCAAAAGTTCAAGCGCTTGCCTCATTATAAAAGGTTCATAACGTATTCAACTGAGGCAAGGAAAAATACTGGCGACAGGAAAAACAAGTAACAGGCCAATTTGAAAAATTATTTTACAGATTTGGAGTTGAATTTTCTTGACGAGTTGAAAAAGATAATTTGATGACGCCTAGATGATTTCGGTGCTATGCGAATCAGAAAACTGATTTTTTTGGTTATATATGAGCCCAATATTGATCCAAATACCCAAAGTTTGTTAGCACCTTAATCCAGCGTCAGGCCCGCCACAAGGGTGGGGATTCTGGGTCCCTGGTACCGGGGCCCGTGCCGTTCCTGACACACTACTTCGAATTCGCATGTAACCCTTGTCTTGTAAGAAAAAGTGAAAAATTTACTCTAAAAAATTCGCACAAGGTGAATAAATTTTCAAAAACACGCTAGGGCACTACAGATTTCCATATCTATTTTCAAGCTTTTAAGTATAGAATGATATTTTTAATTACTGCGTCTCATTTTCTTCCGTCGTCTGGTGCTAAGAGTCCCTAGTCTGGGCACCCTCGACTTCAATATTCGTAAACTTCAATGCAACGGTGTGCTCTCATTTAGTCTCGGGGATGAAGGTGCTACATAGGCGATTTCTGTAGGTATGTACTTCTCTCCTTAAATGTGCTGAGCATTTATTTAAGTTATCTTTATTCTAACCTTACCCATTTTCATGGTAGGACAACTTTTTATCTGGTGGTATGTGGCGGGGGGGGGTGGAGTTGGTGGCAGTCATGGGGGCCCGAACCTTAAAACTAGTACCAGGGCTCGAGATGGGATGCGACGAGCCTGTCCAGCGTACCTGGAAATTTCAAGGTAAAATATTCCTAACTTCTCTCATAAATAAATAGTTTATCCGAGGCATTTCGGCAAGATCTGGATGCTCATACGGCGCGTTCTTTCTTAGCACGGCAGTATGGCTCGTCGAAGCTGCAAAGCCTTTAAACGATAAACCACTGATTCCGAACTCTATTCTCTTGATTACGCAGCGCAATCTCTAACACTGGCCATCTTAGCTATTCGTGGATACATTTCAGTTACATGATTGGACTGAGTTAAGCAGAGAGGAACCAACCCACATTTTGGAAAAAATTGAGTTATCAGTGGTTTTGAACTCAACCACTATGCTCTACTATCTATCGCCAAAAATTCAAAGTGTTTGTTGGAGCAAATTTTGCAGAAATAGAACTTGCAGTTTAACTTTTACATTGAGTCTTATGCAGGAGCTAAACTTTAAGCCTCTCTCTCTCGGTTCGATCCCGATGTGGCTTGATCCTCTCTGTTTAACTCCGTCCGATTAAAACATTGGAAGCTTACCTGTTCGCATGCGTGGGAGTAGCGCATAAGCAAGGGCGCAACGACCTGCTCGGAGTCAGTGCCGAGCTCCTTGCGAAGCTGCGTGAACTGGAAGAGGGCATCCTTGTCGCACTCGACCCTGCGGCGGAGGATGGTGAGAAGGATGGCGAGCGAGCGGTTTTCCACGGCCGGCTCGACGACGTTGAGGAGGGTCTTGTTCTTGATGAGCCGCTCCTGGATGTCGCCCTGCTGGAGGGACAGCTGCCGCTGGTGCGAGGCCGCCACCGGGGCCGGACCCCGCGAGACCTCTGGACACTTCTTCCCGGAGCCGGCCAGGGACAGCTCCTCGAGCTTCACCAGCGCAGCCTTGTACGTGTCCACGAGCCGCTGGAACTCCACCTTCAGCGCGTCGTGCAGGTTCGTCAGGGACTCGTCGTGGGTCCCTACGAGCCCGTGCTGGCCCAGACCCTCGACGGCCTTATCCAGGGCTCGCCGCTTGACCTGCAGCGCCTTCCTCAACTTCGGCTCGGACAGGACGATCACTTTCAGTAACTTCCGGGTACTGCCTAGCCAGCGCTCTACACTCCCGGCCGTGTTGCTGAAGAGCTTCACCAATTGCATCAGGACACTCTCCGGCCGGAGGGTCTTGATGCCGCAATCCGAGCTCAAGAAGACTTTGGCGTAGAGGGCTTCGAGGATGGAGACGGAATGCGGCATGGCGTCGATGAAGACATCGATGGGCAGCTGGCCGAGGATGGTCTTGAAGGTGCCGTGGCTGAGGCGGTTGATGAAGTTGGCCGCCTCTCGGTACTGCGCGTTCTCGTAGAGAAGGAGGATCCGCTTGACGGCGAAGCGAGGGCTGACGTCGGCGATGGTCATGGAGCTGACCAGCTCTGGGAAGCCGTCGACCCATTGGGAGCGCTTCCACTGGAGTTTCTGGACGCTCACGTCGTGGCGGCTGCGTTCGGGTTTGATCCGCTCTACGGCCCGCGCTAGGGGTGCCGAGTTATAGGAGTTCCAAGTCGCCCCCGGCTCTTGGGCCAAGGGGGGAGGGGGGAGCGTCAGCATCCCCGAGTGCCGCGGGTAAGCCTCGAAGTATCTGTTCATCTTCACCATTGGATGCGGTACGAGGAAAATGTCTCCAGGTATCGGCGAATGATTTGGATCCTGAACCAGAGGAATCGGTGCCAAGTATTCAGCGAACATTCACTTTTTGAGGGGGTGAGCTCGCTAATCAACTATGTGGCTCCTAAGTTTTGCCACGAACTTAGGCTTGAAAGTCTTAAAATTTGCGGTGAACAGTTCTGTTGTATGGTCCGCTTCAGTCAGAAGCTGAATGGTATAATTTTATTTGACTAAAAAGAAAGTTTCCCTCGTTGATACTACTAAGTATGAAATAAAATTTTGAACTTATGCCGCAGCCCAAAATTAATTATCGATATAGGATTCATGATTTTTCAGGGATTAATTCAAATGAATGTCATTTGCTGCCATTTTGTGTACTTGGCCTTCGCAGCGCTGTGGTATCCGACTGCCAACTAGAATCAGAGTATTGAATTTTTTTAAAGTGTATTTTTGAAATTTAAATGAATATACCAAAAGTATAGCTCGGATATAGTTATTTGTCCGACTTTTAGTCTTGAGTTATGACTATTTTAAGATATACACGCGCAATGAAACAAAATCAGAATAAACTTCCCAATGTTGTTCGTGCTTTTTCCGAAAACAAAGGATCCACGCGAGCCGCCTGAACACAAAAAAGACTCCCTTCACAAATACACTGCAGCACGATTGTAAACACACTACCAGCTTTAAAACCGCGATTCAAGATTCAACAAACTCGAAGGCAAATCTTTGATAGTATCAATACACTGCACTCTACCAAATACAGTAGAGATATTTTACTACGCCAGAAAAAGAAAGAAATACAGATTTGCGTAGTATTCTTAATAATTTACGTTTTCTTGTAAAACAGAAACGGCACGGAAAACTTGTTGACAACCACCAAAAAACAACCGCACGAAAATCTCCGGATGAACGCGGAAGAGCGTGCACTTTTCCCGATCACCGTTAAATCCAAAACGTGCGTATTCACGACAATACAATCACTCAGAACCAAATCGTCTTCGAGAGGCTCAAGATCCAAAACCAACCCGCGACGAAGCGCGGACTATCTCCGCAACTTTTCTCTCGGCGGTGCGTCGAAGCACGACAGTCACTGGAATCCTTTAGGTTATCCTGAGGGCGCGATAGCGGCGCGAGGCGCGAGACAAACCGGTCGCCGACGCGGTTCCTGCCCGGTCAGAGTCACCTGCACAACTAAGTGGTTCGGAGCCCGGAGCCGGGAGAGGTTGCTGATCTTGAAATTCTGTGTCCGTGGGAGAAGATGTCTTACCTGTCCGGTCTGGCCACAGAGCGAAGGGGGGAGGGAGGGAGAGCCCCCCGGGACCCGGGAATGGGGGGCTACGAGGGGGGGGGGTTACGGAGGGCGCGACCACCGCGCGGCGGGCAGCCCGACACTTGTGGAGTTGTGGCTTCTTGCCTCTTTCTCCCCAGACGTCGTGGTTGCCGGATCAAGGGCTGGCGTTTGAAACCCCGCCGATCGATGACCAATTGGGCAATAGACCGTATTCGATAGTGATTCGATGTATCGTTTGGAACTTACCAGCGGCACAGTTTGTCTTAGAGTCCCTTTATACTGAGAGTCAAGACAATGTGAATCCATTTCTGATTGGTTCCCGTATTTTAGGCCTTCACAGTGTCACAAACGGGAATAAAGATTACATTTTCACCGATTGCAAAGATTATAATTTAAAAATGGACCGTGGAAGTACGGGTTCGGCAAGGAACAAACGGAATGAGAGAAGGAACGGAGAAAGGAATGTGAGAATGGGCCGATGAAAGATTTATTTAATCTTTATTCCCGTTTGTGACTCCATGAGGGGGCGTTGTCTTGACTCTCACACGGAGAAAAAAAACTCGTGCGTGGGACCCGAAGTTTAGGTCATATGGATCTCTGAAGTTTTCAGATTGAGCATCTGAACACTTTAGGTCCAGCTGCCGAGGTTCGGATCATACATCTGAAACTTCAGTTCTTACATCTGAAGTATTTCGGTTCTCACATCCGAAGTACTTCGGTTCTCACACCTGAAGTACTTCGGTTCTCACATCTGAAGTACTCCAGATGTAAGAACTGAAGTTTCAGATGTGTGATCCGAACCTCGGCAGCTAGACCTAAAGTGTTCAGATGCTCAATCTGAAAACTTCAGAGATCCATATGACCTAAACTTCGGGTCCCACGCACGAGTTTTTTTTCTCCGTGCAGTATAAAGGGACTCTAGTTTGTCTGTATGAAAAATATCGCGATGGCAATACTTTCCTTATCGTGGTGTAACGCGTTTCTGAATTGAATCCGTGAGAACGAAAACACACCGACTCGGTAACTCAAAAATGCTCAATTTTCATTAAACACGGGGAAAAAAACTTCATGCGTGGGACCCGAAGTTTAGGTCATATGGATCTTTGAAGTTTTCGGATTGAGCATCTGAACACTTTAGGTCCAGCTGCTGAGGTTTGGATCACATATCTGAAGCTTCAGTTCTCACATCTGAGGTACTTCGGTTTTCACATCCGAAACACTTCGGTTCTCACATCCGAAAAACTTCGGTTCTCACATCTGAAGTACTTCAGATGTAAGAACTGAAGTTTCAGATGTGTGATCCAAACCTCAGCAGCTGGACTTAAAGTGTTCAGCTGCTCAATCTGAAAACTTCAGAGATCCATATGACCTAAACTTCGGGTCCCACGCACGAGGTTTTTTTCTCCGTGAAGACAGTCAATTTGTATAAAGGTCATTGAAGTTAACGCATCTGTTCCAACTTGGACTTTTTAAGTGTCTTTCTGTCCAAAAAAATTTTTTCTTACACTAACTGCTTCACCTCCTGTGCAGTTTCATACGTGTCTTGATTATTTTCATTTTTCAAGTCGGTGTGTTTTCGTACTCACTGATTCAATTGAAATATTCGATTCTCCTTTGTTCGTTCTCTTTTTGATGTGAGTCCTTTGATATGAGTATCTCTTTGAGTGTCCCACAAAAATCGTCGATAGAATACCGAGTCGCAGGATATTTACTGATTGAAGACGCATGAGAAACTCAATAACGGTTGGAAATGGTGCTTTGTCTCGAAAGGATGGCTGATCGTAATTGCACAGAGACCAAGAGAGTCGAGCGTTGAGCTTTCGCTCGAGCGCCGAGAGGAGCACGCGTGTGAGCTAACAATATCGATTTACGATCGATTTAACCTGGAGTAATGCGATTTTCAGCGAAGATAAGAACTTGATTCTCTGTCGAGTTGTGAAGAGCGCACCATATGCGATAGCAAAATTGCCGCACAGAAGGTAAAACCTGGGATTTTGACGGTCAAACGTCTACGTTCAATGAGTTATTTGTAAAATGTATACGTTTCTCAATAGTATAATGAGCGAGCGCTCCAGCAGAGTGGCTTTGCCACAGTCTCAATAAATCAATGGATTAGATAAGGGCATGAGTGGCTCGAATATTTTAAAAGTCTCTCGATCATACGATGTAAAAAATTAGAAGTTAAAATAATGGTAACATTTTTTATGAATACATTTTTTTTTAAAAAAAAAAAGAAAGTGTAAAGTGAAAACTAACCTATTTATGACAATGACGAGTAAACGGTTCCGTATCCTAGAGTGAATATTGCGTCAGGACTTACTTCATAAGGAAATACTTTTTGTAAATTTTAAAGCGTTCCCTAAGGATTGTGACAGGAGGTGCGGGATTGGATCTGTAGTGTGAAAAATGTAAGATCCTATAAGGGTTGCAGATAGACGTGGAGCAGTGGCGGTCAGGGATCTTAAAGCATCAGTGAACGCTGTAAAATGACAGGCATTGATATATGTAGGCGTGTATGAAATTTTTGATATATTTTAGAGATAAAACTCTTCAGATACAGGCGGCCAACCACTTGTGACAAATAGCTTGGTTGTTTGCGTACCTTCCAATTTGAAGGAGTTTGCTCTGGTTATCAAAGTGGTTCTAACCTTAAAGGTTCCTTCATTATGTAGGAAGATGATTTTTCTACTCTAAGGAGTAGAAAAAGAGGAACATTGGCGGAAATTGGACTCAATTTTATATCTATTCTGTTAATAATTCCATCGAGCTTAGACCCATGGATGAGAATATAAACCAAAGCCCACTGCGCGCTGCGCCACATGCCCCGCGTGCGCGCACTGCCGTGCCGTTTTCTCTCATCACGGAATTGCCTCATAAATCAAACATTGACCGGCGATGATGCACTTTGCCAAGAAAGTTCTCGTTATTACTCCAAGACAATATCGAGCAAATTCTGCTCATCACGCAAATTTTCCCCCAAGTTACGCGCTTCGTGCTCATGTCCGTATTGAGTCATTTCACGATGGAAGTTGTAATGGGGCCCCGCGGATAGCACCGCACAACAATTTTTGGGTCATGTTTTATCCTTCAAACCTAATCAATTTTTTCGATTCCCAGATGCTAAAGAATTCCAAAAATGCCCATATTAGATGCAGGGAAATTGTGTGGTACGATCGGGACGCCTCCATCTTGAACTTAGAAAAATTGAGAAAATTCATGATCAGATTTTTGCATGAATCTAATATGGACATTTCCGGAATTTTTGAACACCTTTGAAGCGAAAAAAAATGGTTTGGCGCCTGCAAAAAATGGATCTTAGTCAACAACAACTCCAAATTGAGTCATTGATATCAAGAGAGGCGTGCTCTATGGGCCGGATTTACCGTGAAGCTGCAAAGGCAATAGCTGAGCCGAGGGGCGCAAATTTTTTGAAAATTCTAGGACGTAAGTACCTCCGCGTTAAAAGACATTCTGGTGGACCCGTCCCTCCCTCCTCCCCTCCCCACGACAGAATTTTTTTGTGGGGGCACAAACCAAGTTCAGCTCAGCGGCGTAAACATGTAAACCCGACCTTGCGTGCTCTGAGAACATTTTGGTACAAAAATGCTCCAACATGTCAAAACGAACCGAAGTTATACCGGTTTCACGTTATGCATGCTCTAAAACTACATTTTACAGAGACAAGAAATAAAAACTGTACCCGCCATGTTCAGGTCACCAAATCTGCCGGATGGAAGTCGAACTTAACGCCCTCAATCGGCGAAAAAATGAACGGAGTAGCTCGCAATTTATTCAGTCTCGTCCCAGGGTACGTCTTCTATGTGTAACAGCGGGCTGATTGTTTAAATTGGTAGACAAAGCCGTAGACTAAGAGGACAAAAAGGACATGAAGGGATCTTGTTGGTAGAGGCGGATGGTTGCGATTGATAAAAGAGGTAGGTCATAGACTAACTAACAGCAACTCACAAGAGACCCTGCCTAAAGTTAGTCCATCATTTCCCCCTAAGTCTAAGAGAACCACCCATTTCAACGAATAGGATAGCTCCATACTCCCTATGTCTTTTTTGTTTATGGCTTTGTCTATCAATTTCAACAATCAGCCCGCAGACCAAATATGCACCTAAGATTTGCGGTTTTTGATTTGATACATTTGTACATATTTCCGTCTTGTATAAGTACTACCTCTTTTAACAAGCGATGGAGAATTAAATCAACATACTTCATGCAGGCATTATACATGGCAACTGCGTTTGCCGACCTGATGATGCGTAACGTAACGACAGAGAGTGAGCAACCGGATGGGTTATGTGGCTGTGAATCAGTTTGGAATTGTTTAATTGTAGGCAGGCATTGAATTTTAATTGCTCCACTTCGCGGGGGTTTCGCCGAGAGTTGTCCGAACGAACCGTAAAATTCGTCTCTTTTCACGCTCCCTAGCGCTGTAGACAATTTTTGCCGTTTGAGTCCTCAAGAATTCGGCTATTCAAATTGGAGATTGATTTTATTGAATATTTCTTTGCATATCAAACTAGGGGGTACGCCCTTTGTCCGCTACGTGGCCCAACCCCCGATGGCGCTTCGCGGCTGTAATGGTCCGTATCGCGGCCCCTCGTGGGTGAATCTAAATAGAGAACTATTAGGGACTATCCTATCGATGGACAAAAGCGATTTTCCATAACATAAAAGAAGATGAAACATATAAAATTAATGATGTATACTCAGAATTATTGAGGCATACTCAGAATTATTGAGGAAGACAACAATGATAATAATTTACAATGAAAAAGAAAAGATTTTTAAGAAGAATGATTTAATGAGAATAATATGCTCAGGGTTATTGCGGGAAATGAGGTGGAATATGTATGGGTTTTCACTTCTTTGTATGTA